ATACAACATTATGCATGCAAAGGGAAATATAACTTGTAAATCTACTGTGCAAAAGCTTCTTATCTGAGGATCTCCTGTTTGAATTCTAGAAAATTTAATGTTTTGTAAGTGTCTGGAAGAGAGTCCCATATTTTGCTAGCTAAGTATGAAAAAGAGTACAGACCGTAAGTCGTTGTTTTTGGGTTGGGAAGGGCCAGGATTTGATTTCCGCGCAAATTGTATGATGAAGACCTTACGGTGAACATATCTTTTAAATAACCTGGATAATTCGTAAAGAACAGACTCTTATATAATGTGATCATGAAGTTCTGGAGGCGTCCAATGAGTAGAGATTTCATGTTAACTTTGCTTAGTAAAATGTCATATGGAGAGCTGTAGTCCTGTAGTATAAACCTAAGAATGCGCTTATTTAGGTTATCCACTTTGTCGGCATTGCGCGCACCACAGAAATGCCAAACAGAAGAACAGTAGTAAAAATGCGGCAAAATAAAGGCTTTATAAAGCTTCAATAGCGTCTCCTTATTAATAAGTTTCCGAAATCTAAGCATTACGTTAAATTGATTATTTATTTTCTTACAGATAACTGATACGTGGTTATCAAAAGAGAGCCTATTATCTATTGTCATCCCAAATATATCTATTGAGTTATTTACTGGGAAACTAAAATTGTGCTCAGTTTTTCCCAGGATTAGAGCTTGGTGCTTTTTCTCGCGAACAATCATGCCATTGTTTTTTACCGCTCCGTCATCCTTCTCCTACTCGTCCTTATCGGAAACAGCCGGTGCATGCGATTGGCAACACGTGAGGACCCAACGCGAAAAGAAACTCGTTATTTGTTCAGATGTGAGGCATTCAGAACTAGAGAACATACGCTTGGCAGTCTTATCTCTATGTGCTATCACTGACCTTACGACTTGCGCTGGAGTTTTCTGCTGCCGCGGGGGTAAACGTTAAGGCCAGGTACACCGCGCCCACCCGCAAGGATTGCATGGCATCCACCATTTGACTCTCTGTTTCCACATCATGACCGTCACATTATAACTCTAAAATGGGCCTTGATCGTTTTCACCTTCCCAGAAATCTAATCTTCGCACTGTCACCATGAGAGTCTATACCATTCCATTCTGAATGTACCATTGACTTTCCACTGTTAAGCTTACGGCAATCCCCGAAAAAATAGCTTTTCAACGATTCTATCCAAGCAGATATTAAACTCCTGACATGAAAAAATATAACCCACACCCATAAAAAGAGCAAGATTTCACCGAACTATTCACTTGACCCACGCCATCCCTTGGTTAAGAACAACTACGACCCTAGTGCAGTGGACAAAACGCGCTCGCGAATATATAGTAATCTCTTTTTTGGCAGGCCTGACCACGTTTTCAGATGCTATGACTAATTCGACACTTGCAACACAACTGAAAATTAAATAACAGCTGCAACGCTTTACTTTCAAACGAGACATTTATAAAAAACAAAGTAGGTGTGTGCAGCGGTTTCCTTTCCTTCCTTCCCTCCTATTCTAGTGCTCAAATTCTGACTCTGAAATTCTGCTAGTATAATCAATCGTTCCTGGGCCGACAGGCACAAGGTTTCTTGCAAAATATGCTGTGACGTCCGTTTGCTTACCCCCAGTTGCGCCTTCGGCCGCTGATTGGGTTTGGTGCTGTTCTTTGAAATAACGTTAGGAACGGGAGATGATACATGAGGGGCCTCTGTGCAGCCAAGGGCGAGTGACTCTCGGTGGTGAAGACATATACTGAGCTTGTCAGTATTTTGTAGCCTGTGCCAGGCTCAAAGATAGTAGGGACGTCGCAGAAATGAAACAAGTCAAAGCAAAAGAAGACGCCCCTCTCTCTCCATCTCCCGCAGGTTTTTTGCATAACTTTTTACTGCAGGACTGCTTTACTATCTTGAATTCTGGAACGGGCTAACATTTTGAGCCGGAGCGAACACGGATTCCCTTGGCAAAATTTCCATTTCATTTCCGAAACCGCCGCCCGGTTAGCTCAGTTGGGAGAGCGCCGGTCTGCTGAGCGGGAGGCCGTAGGTTCAAACCCCGGCCGGACCAAAACTCAGGGTCTTTAAATAACTGAGAAGAAAGTGCTGCCTTGTAACATGTGCAAATGGTTAGACTTTCTAGTCTTCTCGGATAAGGACGATAAACCGTAGGCCCCGTCTCACAAGCTCTTGCACATGTGATAAACCTGTGGGACGTTAAAGAACCCACACACTCTTCGTAAAGAGTAGGGCACGTAGTGCCCGGTGTAGTGGTCTATCTCACTTTCACACTCATGTATGAGGGCATCATCATTCATTCCTTCAGTACTTGTAAACTGCACCTTAAGCAGTCTGGCAAAGTCCCCCAACCAGTGTTGTAAATTATCCCTGAAAAGCCCTGTGGGGAGTGGATAATAAGATATTTACAATTACAATTTACGTTAACGCAAGATAGCGCTGAGTTGTTCGCCTATGTTTCGTTTGCACTGAAGAAGCGGTGTATGACCACGTCAGACTTGCTGCTATCCTTGGTTTAAGACCGCAATGGTCAACAACGATTTCTTGAAAAGGGAAAACTGTTTCCTCCTTAGCAGCCATGGCGAACAACTAGGATCAAGTAGGACTTGAGCAATGCTTGTAATAATGATTTACAAATCTAGACAGTGCAATTTCATTTTGCCTTTAAGCAAAATTAAATCCTTAGTTGTTGCAAGGATGAATTTAACAACAAAAGAAATTTAACTTAGTTTGGGATTCAAAGATAAGAATTAAACGAAAAAAAACTTTCGGGGTAAAAACAGCAGTCTGTTGTATTTGCGAAATGTTTATACTGCATGGAAAATCACTAATGGCAATACAATAGCAGAGGTATTCCACCTTTAATTTTCTATGCAATGCACCTTATGACAAGTGTGTGACTAGTCCATTGATAGCCCATACCTTAAGGCCCCTTAAAATTTAATTTACTGCTTTTCGTGCATCGATGTCGCAAATGTATCTTCTGAACACTCCGAGGGTAAAATCAGAGGAACCGAACATTCCCACAGTACCGTTTTTAAAAGTGGGACAGCATGTTTGCCAACCATCTTAGTTAACGACTTTTAAAATAGGACAAAAGAACAGGTAGTCATACATACAGGAAAATAAATTTGCTATATTACGGGAGCTTTAGTTTCCCGCGCACTTATTTTTCACAGGAGATCATTGGTAATTCCGTGGTAACGCAATCGGAGGTATCATACTTTACCGGGTTTGTTTACTCACCGTCGCCGCTCAGCAATACACTGCGTGCTGCAAAGGTTCCAAATTGCGCTAGAATGTTTTCCTCCTCGGCGCACTTTTTATCTCAGGTAAGGCACTTTTAAGCTGATTCATTTCGACGATTCGAGCGAGAATTATTTCTTGATGTTATTCTGACTTCGCAGTCACTTGACGTAGACGCCATGTTCCAATCTAGAAGATCTCATGAACAGAAATTACCCATTGAATGGTCTCTCCTTTTGAAGATTGGTTGAATTTCATTAAACGGGTACATACAAAAAGAATCTTGTCAGTTTTTTCTTTTTAACGAGCTCAAATCGACGCGTAAAACTGAGCTGACGTACACGCGTCAATTGACCCTAGAGTCAATTTGCAGTTGTTGGGGGCAAAATAACATCAAAATAATCAATCTATTTTAGAAGTGTTCGTAAGAATACCAGACTAACTTTCAGATAATGTTGAACTACTATATCTCTCTGGGGAGTAACCGGGATTTAGCGTGATTTGGCGAATTCCACTGTATGGAAAATTCGATTTTGGTTTTAACGGGAATTTGTTGTTTTTTTTTAGCATTATGCAAATTACGTATCAAAATTGTGCTTGTTTGCTGATATTTTATTCTCTAAATCTAAAAAAATATGCTGTTTAGAACTTGTTAGATAATTGTTTTGTAAAATTTAAGTGGAAGATTACCAATATATTCGCTTGTTTATGAAAGTCAGCTGAATTCTGACACTGGGCTATTTCCCCTATTTGGCGACTAATTTTAGACCCGCAGACCATTGAAATCGAAAATCTCTAATGATTCTAAAACTCGGCCGCATTTTGAAATTTAAACCTCAGTAGTGTTATCATTAAAACCTTATTATAAACCGGCTTTTCTTTCCACCTAAATCTGACTTTGATCTTGGAGTATTTGATGGCGTCTTAAGTGGTGAAGGACACCCTTGCGGCTAACCGGACAAGGCAGTTTTCACTTTTTTCGAGGACTTGTTCATTGAATAGACTTCAAGGAAGAACTTCCTGGACGCTCCAGTGCATTTTCAGTAGATCGCTTTCTGGAGCTTCTTCTGATAAAAAATCCATTTCTTTCGAAAAAAAGGAAAGAAAGTCGCCATTGTCATGCCTTGTAACCCGGCCAACGGTTCCCTTCCACCTCCGCCAAAGGGTTCACCCCACTTCCCCTCACCCAACCTTGGGTTTGGGGGGGAAAAAACTGTATTTATTTCAAGCTTTTTATAACAGGGAATGGAATACAAAACACTTGAAAACTGGCAATGTATGCAGCAAAAACTGTTTAGTATTTACCCCTTGTAATACTGTAAAGTAGATAAATGAGGAACAGCAAATACTTACCATGTTAGTTTCCTTTGTCCATGCAGAAATGAACCTCTTACGGGTTTTTAGAATTAAGAGCCAGTCTCTGTAAGATCCTCATATCGAGTTTTGCCCACAAAATTGATTTCGCTCATAATCTTTCTGTAGACTTCTTTTAATAAGTATATAACAAATATAAAACTACATTGGAGAAATTCGCTTCTGTAAATTTTTTTTAACGAATTTTCTTTCGGCGCCATATGAGGACCTGAGATGCTTGTGAAATATGTAAATTTTGTCAAAATTCAACCGATTGCTCCGGATAAAAGAGTGCGACCCAAACCTTCCAATAGGCCATTTGCATGATGACGTCACGCGCGCTGTGCATTATGGTTGTAGTAGTAAAGAGAGTTTTAAAAATGGCGTCTGGAAGTAGCGAAGCTGGAGGATTTACTTGCTGTGTTCCGGGCTGCTACAACAATTCGAAGAAACATAAAGGGAAGTTTTCATTTTATAATTTCCCAGGTGACCAAAATTTAAGAAGACAATGGCTTCATAACATTTCCAGGAAAGATTTTCGTCCTACTACGCGTCATCGTGTATGCAGTGCTCACTTCGAAGGGGGCTCCAAAACCTACCAAAACAACGTGCCAACTGTATTTCCTCTACAAAAGTCTCACCCTAAAGTGATAAAAACACCAAGAAGACTACTTGTTCGCCACAAAGAAGAGGAAATACAAGAAGAGACTGAGGAAAATAAGCCGACGTGTCCGGAGGAGAATCAAATTGATAGTACCAATCACTGTAACAATGAACCCTCTCTTGAAGACCAGATTATTGAACTCAGACAACAAATTGCAGCACTTGAATCGCGGAATTCTAAATTAGAATGCGAATTAAGATTTGGATTGGAAAAATTCAAGTCTTCGGATGACGATATGCAGTATTATACTGGAATGGAAAACTATGCACAGTTTAAGGCTCTCTATGATTTTCTTGATGGAGGTGTGAACGCCTGTTCAAGACTGAACTACTGGGGTTCAAACAACTCGAACCTTCAACTAGACAGCTTGGAAAAGCGAGGTAAAAAACGCACTCTTCTTCCGATTGATGAACTTTTTTTGACCATGGCACGACTAAGAGTAAATATACCAGAAAAGGTTCTTTCTGACTGGTATAAAATCAGTGTCAGTGAGGTGTCTAGGATATTTATCACCTGGGTCAATTTCATGTTCACCCGATTTATGCAGCTACCAATCTGGGCATCAAAGAAAACAGTAGAGAAAACAATGCCTGACTGTTTCAAATTTGACTATCCTTTTACACGCACCGTAATTTTTAGGGAGTTATTATAACTCCAAAAATGGAGTAAAAATTTTAGGTACAGGATAACCCCTTTTTTGGGGTTATTTTAACTCCTAATTTAACTCCGAATTTGGGGTCATTTTTACTCCTGAAAAAGAGTTCTTTTTACTCCCAGTCTTGGAGTTAAAATTACTCCGAAATAGGGTTACTTGTACTCCTTACAGGGGTTGTTTTTACTCTTTTTGGAGTTAATTTAACTCTGAAAGTGGAGTAAAAATTTTAGGTACAGGATAACTCCTTTTTTGGGGTTATTTTAACTCCTCAATATCTGGGGTCACTTTTACTCCTGAAAAAGAGTTCTTTAAACTCCTTTTTGGAGTTAAAACAACTCCACGAAAAATAACTCCACTGTAAGGAGTTAAATTAGCCCCACTAGAGGAGTTATTATAACTCCCTGAAAATTACAGTGCGTGTAATCTTAGACTGTACTGAGATTTTCATTGAGAAGCCTTCATGCTTTAGAGCACAGTCAGCAACCTATAAATCTCACAACACCGCAAAAGGGCTGGTAGAAATTTCTCCACAAGGTGCAGTGACTTTTGTTTCTGATTTATTTGGAGGCCATGCAAGTGACAGGCAGATTGTTGTGTCATCTGGGATACTAGATTTACTTGAACCAGGAGACTCAGTAATAGCTCACAGGGGATTTGAGATTCAAGATTTGCTGGTTTCGAAAAAAGCTTCGTTAAATATCGCCCCATTCATGAGATGCAAGGATCAGTTGGATCCAGACGAGGAAGATGAAACGAGACAAATTGCTTCAGTGCCATTTACGTAGAGAGGGCAATTGAAAGAATCAAAAACTTCAATATTTTGAGACAAATAATTCCCAATACTATGGCTGAAGATATAAATAAAATATGGAAAGTATGTGCCATTTTAACTAATTTTAAAGGTCCCCTAGTTCTTTAGCCATGGTGTTACATTAAGATAAGAACAGAAACAAATCAAGACACAATAGAATAAATTACATGGGTGTGTATACTCTCTGAATACTAATCCATGTAGCTGTTTAAGTCATTGCTCAAGTTACAAGTTACTATACTCTCTAGCAATCTGATCTACTTGGCTAAGGAATTTCAAGCCCAGTTGTTTGTACTAATATACTTCCTGTAAGTTAGGATGTTCATCTTACTTCTTGTAACAATACTCTGTGGGATGAAGTGGTTTTCCTCTTTTGATTCGCCTGGTGATAATCTCAGGTACTACAGCATGTAAACAAAAATCTAACAAGTTACGTTTAAGATCATTCCAATAAATTGGGTCAAAGTAAATTCTTTCAATATGCAAATCCTCCATATTTCTGTAGTAACAATAGACTGCCAAATCAGACCATTGCCTTCCTGAAATACCCATACCTCCTTGTATTTGGGCATAGTAATGATGACGAGTTTTGAGCTTGAGTCCATTACTGGTTATTTGAAGACATGAGTCTTTTGCATGCTTAGCAATGAAATGTAATAAATTGTCCTCAATTTTCTGTTCTGTACATAATCTGCTGGGAAATTGTTTATATTTCATTTCCAGATTTCCAACTGGACTGTGCTTTGCTGT